GTTTACAGAAAAACTGCTCAAAATAACAGAGTTTCCATTTTCCTCTACCCACTGCCTAAATGTTGTTATTAACATTTTTCATTAGTGTGGTACAGTTGTTAAAACTAATGAACCAACATTGATACATTATTATTCATTAAAGTTCATAGTTTACAACCTGGGGATTTGCTCCTTGGGTTGTTCAGGTTTTATGAGTTTTGATAAATGCATAATGTTTTGTATCTACTATCCAGAATCATTTTACTGACTCTATAGTTTTGCTTTTCCCGGATGTTATATAGTTGGCATCATACCATCTTTTTACAGTGGCTTCTTTCATTTGGTAATATAAATTTAAGATTCATCCATGTCTTCTCATGACTTGATAGCTCAGTTCTCTAATTACTAAATAATATTCCATTGTACCACAACTTGTTTATCTACTCACTTAATAAAGGTCATCTTGGTAGCTTCCAAGTTTTGGCAATTCTGAATAAAGCTGCTTTAAACATTTGTGGGCAGGTGTTTATGTGGACATCAATTTTCACCTTATTCGGGTAAACACCTAGGAGTGTGATTTCTAGATTGGTCATGTGCTAAGTCTATGTTTAGTTTTGTATGAAACTGCCAAATTATCTTTCCACATGGCTGTCTCATTCTGCATTCTCATCTGCAACACATGAGAGTTCTTGTTTCTCCACATCCTCACTGGCATTTGATGTCAGTGTTTTGGATTTTAGCCACTCTAATATGTATGTAGTGATATATCATTGTTTTAATTTGGAATTCCTTAATGACACAAGATACTAAGCATCTTTTCATGTGCTTATTTGCATCTGTATGTCTTCTTTTGTTAGGTATCTATCTAGATATTTTCCCCAGTTTTTAATTGGGTTGTTTGTTTACTTATTATTGAATTTTAAGAGCACTTTGTGTATTCTGGATTCTGGTCCTTTATCAAATTTGTTTAGAGTCATTTATTTTTTATTTTACTGATTTTTAATTGAATTTCTTGGGTAACATTGGTTCACAAAATCATACAGGTTTCAAGTCTACAAGTCAACAAAACATCATCTGCACTGTACATCATGTGTCCAACATCCCAAGCCAAATCTCTTTCCATCCCCATTTTCCCCAGTTTGCCCACCACACTCCCCATCCCCCTTTCCCTCTTTCACCACGCTGTTTTCTGTGTCTATGATGTATATGTGTTTTATATGTGTGTGTTTTTGCTTAATCCCTTCACCTTCTTTAGTTCAGCCCCCCGCCCCAACTTTGCTCCTTCTCTGACAGCTGTCTGTCTGCTCCAAGTATCTATGCCTCTATTTCTATTTTGTTCTGTGTTTACTTATTTTCTTTTCTGCAAATATTTTCTTCTAGTCTGTGGCTTGGCTTTTCATTGTCTTAATTGTGTCTTTTGCAGAGCAGAAGTTTTTAACCTACAGTAAGCCCAATGGACCATTTTTTAATGTAATAAACTATGCTTTTGGTATTGTATCTAATTAGTCATTGTCAAACCTAAAGTCACCTAGACATTCTTTTATGCTGTCTCCTAGAAATTTTATTGTTTTATATTTAGGTCTAGGATCTAATTTGAGTTAATTTTTATGAGAGGTGTAAGGTCTAGGTCTAGATTTTTTTTTCCAGTGGATGTCTATGAAATCTGGATTTTTGTAAGAAGTGTCTTGATTTTAAAGATTGGATAGACATATACTGGTAGTGCTAGGGAAGGAACTAGTAAGTTGTCCCTCCCTCATCACATGACTGTAGGCTATTTTTCCATCTTGGATCATCTCTGCTTCTGTCATATACCTTACCTCAAATGCTTTCTTTCTTTTCTTTTCATTTTTTTAATTGATTTCAGAGACAGGAAGGGAGAAGGAGAGAGATACAGAAACATGAATTATGAGAATCGTCTTCTGGCTGCCTCCTGCATGACCCCCATTGGGTATGGAGCCCACAACTCATGCATGTGATCTCCTGGTTCATGGGTTGACCCACACAGGCTGGGCTGGAATATACTTCATCCACAAATAAAATCTTATTCTAAGGCCTACCTCACATTTTGTCTACCCTACCTTCTCCAATACTCTGACTGGTGCATGTACTCATCAGATATTCAGTTAATAGTTGTTGAACTCTAAACACACTTATAAGCTACACGTCCTAATTAGCACTGCCATATACCACTGTCTTTCCTCCTTAGCCAGGCTGTAAACTCTTTTTTCTCATTTATCCAAGATAGCTTAGCATAGGTTTGGTCACAAAATAGGAGAGAATACTTGCTGACAATTTCAGGCTAGACGGACTTTTGTCCTGGCTTACCAAGTATCCTTTGGTCTTCAGGAGGACCTGCCAAAGATTTAAACCCTGCAGTCTTGCCCTGGCATGGCTAGAATGGTGGCATCTCTAATTGTGATGTGTGACTTAGCACTATGCCCATACAGACAAGAGGGGCCTGATCTCCTTGGAGAATTAGCAGCAATTTACCAATGAGACAGCAAAATGTAGTCTCTGAAGTACCAAAGGGTGCTGAGTCACAATGTGTTTCTTTCATTATGATTGTTACATAGTCACAGTGATCGTTCCAGTCATTATGAAAATAATGAAAAACAAATGAATAAAATAAAAAGAACAGACCATTTTCTGGTGACTAGTTCCCTACCTTATGCTCAATTAATAGTCAAACAAGCTAATGGTAATCCACCACCATTGATTCTGTGTTTTGTTTTCATCTGCATCATTAAGTGTTCCCATTCAAGGCTTTCTGTGCACTTCAAAGTGAACAGTATTGAAGGGAATGAAAGGATCCAGAATGGAGTCTAAGACCCACCGGTCCCAGTTGGCTTCAACTGAGCCCAGTCACCATGGCACAGTGTGCTCACAGACTTCACAGAATCAATTTTCTCAGGGAACATACTGTGACTTCTGTTTGCCAGGACTACCCCGCCTGTATCTATGGCCACTCAGGCAAATTCCACACAGAAAACAATGGAAGTCACAGCATCCCACTGCCCCGAGTGACAGAAATGGTCATTGAACCTACTGGAGAGCCTGCAGGACCTGTGTGCTTGGCCTATGTTTGGGACATGGAAAACTCTGGTATCTGTGCTGGGATCAGCACTCCAGTCTCAGGAACAGTCTGCCTTGAGCTCAAGACTCACAGGTGTCAGTCAGACCTTCCCCAAGCTAAGCAGGACCACAGTCCTGCTAGAAACACCACATATCTACCTCTAATCCTCCTCCTAAGAGTAAAGGTAGAACTGTTCCTGGTATCACCCTCCCTTTCCTGGGAAAACCCTTCCCCCCAAATCTGCAGCATTCAGGGACCCCTCCTCCCTCCTGTATGGTGTGGAATAGACTGAGTCACTCCACAGTATTTTATGTAAAACAAATCACAAGACAATCAGAAAATAAAAAGCCTAAGCCCCCTCTTCCAGGACCTGTTAAAAAGACCCCCCTTTCTACTTAGCTGTTCAAGCAGCCTCTTTGGACAAACTGTACTGAGCAGTGACTCAGGGGACTCCCAGCCCTTAGCTGCTGAAAACAAATATTAAAGAAAACTAGTTGGTACGACAGCTAGAATCAGAAGATATAAAGCAGCCTCGGCTAGAAATTCAACTTTGCTCATGCTGAGCAACAAATAACCTCAGCAACTGGTAGGTACAGAGATTAAACAAAATGGGGGTGGGGTGGAGAACAAGAATCTCTTTAATGGCTTAGGAGCACCTGGGACATTCAGTCTGGCCATGGGGAGCCAGAGAAACTCACTGCCCATAACCAGAACTTGTTAAATTATTTTGAGCTCTTAAGGCACTGGTCCACTTCTTGGTGAAGAAACATATTACCAAAAAATAGGTAAGTCATTTAACTTCCAGAATATCAAAGTAAGATTTAAAGCCAATAACTAAAATGAGACCTGACTTTCTCAATGTATGATTTCATCCTATACTGTTGTTGTATTCTCTATATAATTACCTCTTAAGTTGACTTTAGAGTCATTTTTCCTCCCAAACCTTAATGTACCTTAGACCCTTCTAAGGCAAAAATTGCTGGACCCATTTTGCACATCTGTAACCATCTTCATGAAATAGAATGCTAAGGTGCATTCATTCACACACCTTAGCCTAAAGAGAAGCAGGAAAAGGCTCTGTTATCCCAATGCCTCACCATGTAAAACAACTGCCTGAGAGCAATCTGTGTCTGAACCGCAAACTATTTTCACTAGAGAAAGGCAAAGTCAACTCTGCTTTTCCCGAGTCTTATACAACTGCAGCCTCAAAGTCCAGCTGTGCTGGTCATGGCCTCACATTCTTTCTGCAAAGGCTCTGGTTGACACGATTTATGAGGTGGTCTGAGGAAGCATGCTAAGCAATGTGGGATGAAACCACAAGGGAGGACTTTCTGGCTCTAACAGAGTACATCCAATTTCCGTGGAGGTTTGGACAAGCAGCCCCAAAACTGCCTGTCTTGGCTACGGGTGCTTGAAACCCAAGAATGAAGCAACAATGGTGCTCCTCTTTTTTAGCCTTTGTATGTGATCATGGTCACACTAAGGTTGGAAGGGCTGAAGGCCCAAAGTGCTACTGGGAGCTTTTTTTTTTTTTTTTTTTTTTTTTTCTTCTGGAACTGAACATTGTCAGCACAGTCAGGGAGGAGGGAAACCAAGACAACATGTATGAAAGAAACAGACCTGGCTTGTGATCTACTGAGCTACTACAGTGCCTGAATGTTCATAAAACCAAAACAAATTGCTTTTCATACCCAGCAGCCAGCACAGGCAATAGCAATAGCCATCACCAAAGCATCTCAGCAGGATGGCAAATCATAGATCACCAAGGCCAAGAAGCGGTATGTTGTGAATAATGATTAACCCATAACAAACTAGCCAAGCTCCAAGTTTAGGGAAACTTAAATAACGTTCATAGGGTGATGCTCAAAGTCATATTTGGCCTGAGATCAAATTCTCAGCAGAATTGCTGACAGAGGGCCTGCCATAGTAGGCAAGCAAAAATACTTACAGTGAGTTGGGCCGGGTGGGTTTGAGCACATCCAGGTCTGGGTCACTGGAGTTCATGTTGGGCTGTAAGCTGCTGCTAGAATTAAGGATGCTGTTTGCATTTGATGAGACGACAGATTCCAAACTGGAGTTAATGATGCTGTTTCTTTGTTCCTCTGGGGAAAAACAAAAGGACACAAGCCCCATATTATTACTCCATAGGGGTAGTCTATTCCCACATATATTAAAATTTACAAATATTGAAATTGGATTGAGATCTCTGGGCCAATGAAGCTAAAAATGGGACATAAGACAGGATATGAAGGACAAGTGAGAAAGGAAATCAAAGAGGAATAGGTCACCTGAAACTTTAGAGTAAAACCCCTCCTTAGTTTGATAGGACATACCTCCTCCCCTACTCCCCACCCTTTTAATTTGACCAGCCTTTTTCCTAAGAGTAGCCCTACCACTGTTCCATAAGTTGTATCTTATTTTGACTGGCAGATGGTCAGAGCAGAGAACAACCTCCATAGCCCTTTGTGTTCAACCAGATCCTCCTGGTTTCTGTGACATTCACCTTTTATTCAAACACTCCTGCCCCCATGCTGTCTAAATTGCACAGGCCACATCCTACCTCTGATTCTATCGCAAGTAACCATCAACGTCTACTAGTTGGTCATCTACTTCCTTATGACTCTGTAATCTAAATTCCTGATGCTCCCTACATATATCCTTTGGGTTGCTGTAGCTCTAGCCAAATGATGTTTAGCTTCAAATTAGTTCTTTGTATATTTTATTGATTTTTTACAGAGAGGAAGCGAGAGGGATAGAGAGTTAGAAACATCCATGAGAGAGAAACATCGATCAGCTGCCTCCTGCACACCTCCTACTGGGGATGTGCCCAGCAACCAAGGTACATGCCCTTGACCGGAATCGAACCTGAGACCTTTCAGTCCACAGGCTGACGCTCTATCCACTGAGCCAAACCAGTTTCGGCTCAAGTTAGTTCTTTGATTAAAAGATGTGTAAGGGCTACAGAGTAGTTTGCATATAAAAAAAAAAAAAAAACTGAGTCCAGGGTCCAAGCAGTCATATTAGTGTTTGGAGTATATTACAGACCAGGAGGGAGAAACCTGAGTTGATTTCAAGATTTTACCCTTGACTGGTAGTATGGCCTCAGGCAATTTTCACTCACACTTTTTTTTTTTTAGCTAATGCATCTATACAATGGGGAGAGTGAGCTGTCCAGAGGATTTAGTGAGATCATTTGCAAGAATGTGTTTTGTAAACATCAGACATTGCTTAAAGAAAAGAACTTTCTTTTTTGTTAATCCTCACCCAAGTATATTGTTTCCATTGATTTTTTGAGAGAGTGGAAGGGAGAAGAGGAGAGAAAGAGAAACACTGATGTGAGAGAGACACAACAATTAGATGCTTCCGGCATGTGTCCAGACTAGGGTTTGGAATCAAGTCTGCAACTGAGGTACTGCCTTAGACCAGAATTGAACTTAGAATCCTTCAGTCCCCAGGCCGATGCTCTCACCACTGAGCAAGAAAAGAACGTTCTGTTTCTTCCCCTCTTTAAAACACTCCTGCCACCACTACCTGAAGAAAACATTTTTTTTGCTGTGATTTAGCTAAATGACACAGGCACCACTGCTATAGCAAAACATTGGGGATTTAGAATGTCATTCTTATCCCATGTTACCAACAGATATGCCATATTGAAATCAACTGATATTTTGAGCAATCGATTCACTCATCAAGAAATATATCTGGCCAAAACTAGTTTGGCTCAGTGGATAGAGCATCGGTCTGCAGACTGAAAGGTCCCAGGTTTGATTCCGGTCAAAGGCATGTACATTGGTTGCGGGCACATCCCCGATAGGGGGTGTGTAGGAGGCAGCTGGTTGGTATTTCTCTCTCATCGACGTTTCTAGCTCTCTATCCTTCTCCCTTCTTTGTGGAAAATCAATTTAAAATATATATATATATATATATATATATATATATATATATATGAAATATATTTGGGTTAATCTTCACTGGACTGTTTTGAAATGAGCCAGATGCATACCATATCTCTAAGAAGACAGACTAGGCTCACTGACATGGTAGTTAAGAGGTGGACATTTGAACTATGGTGTCTTTAGCCAATAAAGGGGGTGATGTCATGGTAAAAAATATTTCTTCTCTTATACTAGCCATGTCAGTAAAAATATATTATACTTATTAAATGATGTTAGATTAATATTCACATTACACACACACACACACACACACACACACACACACACACTCACTACACAATGATCCCTAATAGCTTGGCAAATTTTCAATGTCATATTTAAAACCCTACAGATGAGTTAAAAACACCATAAGGCTATTGGGAGATTGAAACACCATAAGGCTATTGGGAGACTGCCTTTTAAGTAGATTTTGAAAAAAGTAGATTATTAAGTTGATTCCAGAGATTTAGATCTGTTCATATTTTAAGAGCTTAAATTCCAAACAGAAGCAACAATGAAGAAAGAGAAACCAAAAAAGCTACATTGAACCAAGATGTAGGCAGACTAATAGGGCCTGTGAATGGGAACCTGCTACTGAGAAAAACAACTCTAAAATGACATAATTAGGGGATCATCTAAGGAATGGTTATGCCACTCATCAGTATGATTCAGTATAAGTAAAAATTTCCTTTGCACAAAGTACCCATATTAAGATTTCTGCAAGACTATGAGGAGCCCAAGATCATCATATAAAAAAGGGGGAATATTATACCTCTTTGGGGTTCAATAGAGACACTTTCTGCTTTATACAGAAGGAGAGATTAATAGTTTTATAAATTTTAATTTGAGGCCAAGTTTGGATGACATAATTCTTTGAATTCATAGGAAACAGAAGAATATAGCTGTAGCTCATATTTTTCTTGTGATTTTATTTACTTTTCCATGAGAAGGTTGTAATTCTATAAATTAAAAACAGTATCTTGCTAAAAGTATATTTGTTTTTCTAAAATATTATCAGGATTTTTTTTCTGCCTTACTATCCATTAGAAAAAGAGTATGTGAAATGAAACCTTCTTCAATTTTTATTTATTCAATGAATGTTTAATGAGTATCTACTGAATAGCAAATACAGCACCCAGTTAGCAGATTCTTAAATTTATTCCTTGGTATTTTATTCAGATGCCTACTGGTATATTTGTTAACTTGCATTATATTTACTTAACCATATGCTTTCCTTATTTAGTAGACTATGAGCAACCTAAGATTGGATATCTGTCAGATAACACTTTTAAATCACAATTGAAAAAAACATTACATAAAGATGCTTTGCATTATAAAATAAAATATTTTATCAGAATCCTAGTGCTCATAAAGAGATTTCATTCTGAAAACTAGACTTAGATAAAGATTTTAAGAACATATTTCCTATTACCATTGTATAGACTGGGGTTCTTCATGACCTAACGAGAGAGCCTATAGCATTTGAAAGATGGTATTTGTCTGAATAAAACTCATAAAAGGAGTGAGGATGGAAACAAGAACGTGACCCTCCCTGGGCTAGGAAAGTCGATGGAATAAAACAGGTGGCTACACCCAAACTGAACTTGGGGATTTCTAGCATTCCATTTACTGGAGGACATTAGAATTCTTTTTTTAAGAGATAAATTCTTTTTGAAGTACTATTTGGGCTTAAATTAAAATATATAGAATCTTTCATATATGTCATAACTAAAAAAAACCCCAATACAACATCAAAAGCAAAAGGTCAGGGAAAGGAGTTAATTGTTCAAGAAGAGGAAAAATATATAATTAATCTGAAGATTTCATAGTTTTATAGCCAAGACAGCCAACTATGCACCCTAAAAGGCATCCTCTTTATTGGCCTACCTGGGTGAGCCACGTGATAAGGGAAACTGGGAACCTGGCATTTTCTGACTACCCATCCATTACAGTTTCACTGGATGCAAGACCTCAGCTAGTAAGACTGGGAACTCCCAGTGGATACTTCTCAATGAAATGCTGACAAATCTTACTGAGGGTGAGCAAGAAGGTGAAGATTATTCCTGAGATGGGGAGTGGGAAAGATCAACAGCAAATCAAATATTTTCGTAGTTGTTGCAAACTCTAGAGCAGTGGTTGCCAACCAGTGGTCCATGAGGTCTGAAAGTTTGGCGACTGCTCTAGAGAAACCAATTTTAGGGCATTCGAAATGAATTAAAAAAAATAAAGAGAAAGTGATACAGTAATGTCACTCAAAACAGGAAGATTTTATGTTCTCCTGACAGGAAAACATAATGAGAATAGGCAGCCTAAAAAGTAAAAATAAAATAAATCAAATAATTCAAATACAAGAGACAGCTGGACTTGGAGCTACTGATGATTCACACCAGCTCGGCATCTTCATAAGGAGGTATTAGAAGGACTGATGGCAATTACATTACTGAAGGAAAAAATTATAAACTACTGGACTGAAAAAGAAAAACAACAACCGGGTATGAGTCAAATCAACAAGATCACAGAGAACCATTTAAATGACCAAGAGAGAAAGAATGCTCACAAGTCAGGAATAATTCTAAACCAGGGAAATTCAATGAAAATGCTTGCTTTCCTCAAATATGTTTGTCAACAAGTATCTCTCTTCATAGTAATCACTGAAAACAAGAGCCCAGAAATAAGGAAATGATAGACGCAATCTTCAAACAATTGTAAACATCTATGAGTAATGTATTGGATGCTTTCAGGAACATATGTTCAACAAGGAGTGACAAACTGGATGAGGAGCTGGTCCTTAAAGATACAGACTACTCTAGTACTGGGGCACATCTGCCCAAGCAGAAAACAACAGGCATCCATCACAGTGACTTGTGAGGTCAGCATCGGCTCATCCATTCCTGCTTAGTCTGTGCATAGTATCTGCTAAAGCTCCACAAATAAGTGTAAGCTAAATAATAAATATAAGGCCACAATCAAAATGTGTTCTCCTAGCACAGAAAAAGGCAGTTCTGTATGATTGGGTTTTTCAGGTGGGTCCACACTGACCGCTAATGTCCTTAAAAACAAAGTCCTGGTTACAGGGGGCAATGTTTTTTTGTACAAATCAGGAGCGGAAAAACATGAGTATGCAACCAAATCACTGCAACTAAAAAAAGAAAGCCACAGAGTAATTT